ACATCCATCTTTCAATATTCTCCCAAGTCTTTGTAGTTTCCTCGCAATACCAGAAGGCATGGATGAGGGAGTCACTCTGGGTGTGACATTTTAAACATCTATCTGAGGAGCTACTATCAAACTTATGAATTTTGTCTCTACTATAGTATATTCTTGTCATTAATTTGTACTGAATTAAGTGTACATTTTCATTAGTGGTGATTTTATATGTGAGTTGTAGGCATTCCTTCCATTTTTATTTGCATCTACCATACCAAGGTCTTTATTCTATTTATTATATATATTTTGATTGTGATATACAGCACCTATTAATCTCCCCTATCTCAGTTGAAACCCTATTCCCAAGATTAAAATTACATGTTATCCAGTTTTTCAGTTGCAAGTACTTGAAAAATTCAGTGTCTTTTAGTTTATATTTATTCTTTTGTTCGGGAAATGAAAGTACTGACTCATGATTCATAATATCTGATAATTTCTGGATTCCGCCTGTTATCCATGTCTCCCATTGTAGTTGTTCATTTTGAATAGTTAATGATGGATTGTTCCAGATTGGTATTTGTTTGGGGATTTCTATTTCTTGATTAAGTATTTTTTTCACCCTCTTCCAAGCATTTAATGTACTATTAATTATGAAATTTGCTATTTTAGTTTTATGCTTGGGAAAAAGTGCTAAGAGTAAACTATTAGGCTGTAATTGATCATTTTCAATATCTATCCAGGGTTCGGAAGATTCAGATCTCCCTCTTCTCGACGATAATACAGTAGTTTTCTCTTAATTCTTAGTTTTATTACCCCAGATAAAGGAAGTAAGGAGTGAATTTATTTCTTTAAAGAAGGATTTTGGTGCGGTAATGGGTATTGTTTGAAATACATATAGGAATTTTGGCAGCCACATCATTTTGAAAAGGTTTATTCTTCCTATTAAATTAATCTAATTAATCTTGCTTAAAATCTTTAATTAATGGGAGAAAATTGTCTTTATATAACTGTGATTTTTCTGCACTGATATAAAACCCGAGGTATTTAATATTCTTTGTTTGCACTTTAAATTGTTTTACGTTTTCCAAGTTATTTATACTTTTGTCTAATATCAATAATTCCGTTTTTCCTACATTCATTTTATAGCCTGATAACTTTGAAAATTCTGTAATAATGTCCATTACATATGGGATGGAGGAGTTTATATCATTCAAGTACAGTAATAAATCATCAGCAAATAGACTAAGTTTATATTGCTTCTTACCAATAGTGATACCACTGATATTTTCTGTCTGTCTGATTTTTTGTGCTAAAGGTTCGATAGCAAGTGCAAACAAAGAGGGTGATAAAGGGCATCCTTGAGCTGTGTCTCTACTTAAAGGATAACTTCGGTATTTTTCAACCTGGGCCCTATTTCCCCATGTGTATATGTGCGTATGATTCATAGGTACAACTCGTTCTAAAATTGGTTCAGTATTGAGGGAGGCGGATGCAACCGGGAGCCGCGAAACGAGCTAAAACGGTAACGGGGGCAAATGCGTCCCGTATAAGTTTGCGCATTAAAAGTGCTTTTTATCGCCACTGACCTGCATCCGCCTCCCTCAATACTGAACCAATTTAAGAACGAGTTGTACCCATGAATCATTCGCACACATACACATGGGGAAATAGAGCCCAGGTTGAAAAATACCTAAGTTATCCTTTAAGGGAAAGGGTTCTGGGAGATTTCCATTTGTGAATACTTGTGCCTTTGGTGACTTATAATGTTTTTATCATATTAATACATTTTAGTGGAAAGTCAAAGACTTCTAATACTTTATACAGATAGGACCATTCAATTCGGTCAAAGGCTATCTCCGCATCCACTGCCAGTAATGTTAAATCTTTCTTGTGCTTTTTTGCATATTGTATTAAAGATAAGCATGTTCTGGTATTGGTTTTTAGGTCTCTGTTTTGTATGAATCCGGTTTGATTGTGATGAATAATTTTTGGTAAAATTTTTGTTAATCTATTATTTAAGGCTTTAGTAAGAATTTTTTTATCGCAGTTGATTAAACTACTAGGTCTAAAATCAAAAGGCCTATCACCTTACCTACCTGGCTTTTGGGATCACGGAGATAGTGGCAAGGTACATTGCTTGTGGAAGAGTTTGATTTTTTTGAGCTGAATTTATCACATCCATTAAAAGAAAATTTATGTTTGTCCAAAATGTTGAGTAAAACTCTAGGGGGAGGCCATTCATGTCTGGTGCTTTTTATAAGGGAGAATTGTTAATAGCTGATTTAATTTCTATAAAACTTGCTGGGTGTCACATATAGGTCTTGATATTCAGCCGGTGTAGTTGTTGTCTTAATGGCCAAAACTCAGTCTGCCTTGAACGAAGCTGTGCAGACATATCCGGCACCACTCTGAGATTGCTCCCCTCTTGTTTCTCTCAGGTCATTTCCAAAATCTGCAGTTTCTTCTGAAAATGATGTAATCTGATTATTATTAATTTTGCATTGTCTTTAGTTGGTCCAACACGGTGCGCTCTTTCAAAATCCTCTTCCTTAAGAGTTATGCTCCATTTCTCCTCCAAGAATTTAACAAAGAAGGCAATCATTGGCATTTCATTTTCTTCTCTCTCCGGAACATTCAGGAGTCTCAAATATTTTGTTGATGTCTGTTTTCCAACTGATCGATATACTCAGTAGCGTGCTGAAGTTTCCTCTCCAGCTCATAGACGCGACTTTCCTGGGAGCCTAACTTAACTCCTTGGTCATGCATTTCGCCGATCAAGCTCTCCACTTTAGTGTCGAGAGCATCCACTCCCTAAACTACGGAGTTCAACAGTGTGTTGGTTAAGGAGTTTGTCCAGTTTCAATTCTATTTCATCAAATCTGGCATTGTAGCTGGGTTCTCCCCCTGAAGTTTGCATTTTTGTTTGCTTCCTTGTATGCATCGATTGCACGCAGTTACGTATCTGGTAGTTTCAACTAGTCAACTTACTTTGTTTACAGATCAAGGTGTGGTGAAAAAGGTTGATGAATGAAAATTATTCAATGAGTTTTGATCCATTGTTTGACACGCCGGCATCTTGCTGAGGTGACGCTGTCGCTTGAAGAGCTGCTTCCTGGCAGATCTCGCACCATGCGTAGCTGCCGCGGGACTTTAGACACAAGGAAGTCGGGAGGTTACCGGTATTTTGAAGTGTGTGTTCCTTCACTTTTATAAGGAAATATCCAGGTAAACACTGCCAAGATAAATAAATAGTCACATGTGCCTATAGATAAGAGTGTAACTATGCTGTAAGCTAAAACTGACAGAGGACGATCTTGTATTTTTGCCAATGTCTGTAGGTCTGTTAAATGTGTTCTATTTAAGCAATATCACACTCGATGTCATGATGTTGTACTGTATATTGTCACGGCTGTATTGTCTTCTGGCCTGCGGCCTCGTGCCTATGACCGAATCACAGCCGTGACGATATACAGTACAACATCACGACCTCGAGTGTGATATTGCTTTTATACAACAGTTCAGCAACAACTTAAACAGCAATGCTGAGTAGTGAAATGTTAATAAAAGGTGATGAAATAAATTATTTAAGTATGTTATGTAGCTCCGCAAAAAAAAACAGTTCCCCTAGTCTGTTGCCAGGCATTCTCGGAACCCATCGGCTGAATTCGGCATCTGACTTCCGGCAGATGACGAATACAGCCTCTGGGGGCAGACCCCTGATTTTTTGGCATTCTGGTTTGATTTGGGCGGAGGAGGCGAATTTCCGTTTCCGACTTCCGTTTAAATATATAGTAAATATGCTGAACCATTGAGATGGATTCAGAGTTTGCAGTGACGCCAATTATGTTCCACCTCGTTAGTACACCGCAAGGACCGTTTCACCTGGCAACAACTGCAGCCGGCTCAAACGTGATTGATCAATATCACGCAGACTACAAATTGCCGACAACCGGAAACCAGGGCTCTTCCGCTCTTCTTCCGGAGGCAAGATCTCCGGGGTTTGCCTACAGACTCTACATTCACTGAATGTAGAGTCTGTATATAGAGACTAGTTGCCAGGCAACGCGGCACACACGCCAGGAACTCACAAGCTACTTTGTATTTACATTGATCTGCAACTGTGTAACTTCGTCCAGTTCGGCTGATGAAACGTTGGCAAACCTGGATGTTGGCACGGCCGGATTCAGCTTCCTCGTCCTCTCCTGACAACCACTCATAATTTAATTCAAATGTAATTTTGGGGAAAATATCTATCTTCTTGGTGTAAAGCTAGTGTCAGTTTATGTCAGTGTAGCGAGTGTGACAGTTGGTTAATTAACGGTTTATATTTATACCACCTGTGAGCGGAGTGGTTTTACTGTTACATGTCCCAGTGATGTTATACTCTATATCAGCACTCATGGAATGCCTCTCGTCCAATCAAATTACTCGGTCGGAACTAACTGTTGTATAAATGTGTTTATACAACAGTTAGTTCCGACTGATGATTTGAACAATTTATAGGAGTTCATGTAAAAGTATTCCAGTTGTTCATGAATGTACACTGACTGTGAATTAACACTTTTTCATGTAAAGTGACTGTGTGTTATGTGGCTCAAGAAGTGTACTAATTTGTGTTTATTTTTTTATTTATTTTTACTCAGGACTGAGCCACTACTGTTGTCTTTAGATACCATTGTTGCATTGATAGCACCTTTTGATGATGCTGACACTGTTGCTAATACGGTTTAGAGATAAGTGATAGTATTAAGCTCTTGTAAGGTAAAGTGTTGTACGACATATTTGTTTCATTTTTGAAAAGCAAGTCTAAAGCTATTTTTTTTGTTTTGTTTGTTGTCTCAAAATTAAATAAATTAAAGCTGCTGATTTCTTCCAGTTGGGGAATAAAGACCCACAAAAAGTAGTTTATCTGTGTCAGGTCTCCTCATTTTATGACCAAGCTACATATATGAATGTACTGACTTCTTTATACTGTGTTTGTGTGTGTGTGTGTGTGTGTGTGTGTGTGTGTGTGTGTGCAGTGTCACTGGTTTACCTCTCAGATTTGAGAAGATGAGTGACTTGAAGGAAGAGGAGGACAGATCAGAGACTCCAGTGTCCAGCTGTCCGTCTTTGAAGAGTGACGAATCCAAAGATCATTCCCCATTCTTCAGTAATGAACCTGGACCCTCAGACACAAAGTAAGAGACCTGAAGATGTTTTCATACATGATGTGTTGTTTTATTCAGTCACTGGGGATGTACCAATCAAGTTCCTCTGTCTCCACACCTAAAACACTATGTTTTTAGGCTGTTGGTCAGTGCTTCCGGATATCTGTCTGTCAGCTGTCCAAATCTTGTGAATACAATATATCAAGAACTCCCTGAAGAAATTTCTTAAAATTTGACTGAAACGTCCACTTGGACTCAAGGATGAACTGAAAAGATTTTGGTGGTCATGGGTCATTGTCACTGATTATGCAGTGATGTTACAGAGTGGAGCCTTTCATACTGATGATCTTTAGTAACACAGTAGAGTACAGTAAAGTTTTAAGTGTTGGAGAATAAACTATTGAAATCATCTGAGGTTGTGTTCAGTAAATCAGCCTCAAACATGTAGATGTAGAAACTCTTCACTCACTCAAATAAACATGTTTCCAGCTGTAGGTAAACTGTTCAGAGATGCAGATGGAGAAGGAATCATCAAATCTTGACCATGTGTCATGTTAATGTTACCTCTGTTCTTTACAAGGTCTAATGATATGTGTAAAACATTTGTTGTTTCCACAGACAGAGAGCAGAGTCTCCAGTGTCCAGCTGCCTGTCTATGAAGAGTGACCGGTCTATGGACAGACCTATAACCTTCAGTAATGAACCTGCACCCTCAGACACAAAGAGTCATTGGAGACAGTTTCAACTGTAAGTTGGCCTGAAGATGTGTTCAGTGTTCAAATTCAATGTATTTTAATATTTTTCAGTTCAGAGACTCAAAATATGTGAAGAGGGAATGGAAATGTGTACAAACAGTCTGCTGATTAAGGTGGTCAAAGGTCACTGTGACCTTGTGTCTGTCTTATTCTCCTCAACGCGATATCGCAAGAACACTTTGAGGGAATTTCATCAGATTTGGCACAAACTTCCACTTGGACTCAAGGATGAACAGATTCAATTTATGGGGTCAAAGGTCAAGGTCACTGTGGCTTAGTCCTTAGCATTCTCATGAATGTCATATCTTGATAACACCCTCAGGAAATTTCTTCAAATTTGGCAAATTCAATAATGAACTGATTAGAATTTGTTTGTCAAAATTCAAGGTCACTGTGGCCGATAAAGACATGTTTTTGGCCATAATTTATTAATTCATACAGTGGTTATGACTAACTTTCCCACAAATGTCCAACAGGATAAAATGGAACAGAGGGGGGGACGTTTGGTCAGATACTAAATTGGTGACACTACTCATGGGTGTTCACCTTGAAACTGTGCTGATTGTATCGATCCTTTGTGCTGCCACATTGAAGATGTATGTAAAGCATCCATGTTTTGGAAGATGTATCTTTTTTGCAGCAACATCCATATTTGAAACATTGCCTACTGTCATGGCTACATATGAAACTCGACTGGTTTACGGAGGCGTACAACTACGAGGCATTCATTTTAGTTTGGCCCTGATCAGAGTATTTTACATTTGGATATCTACTGATGCAGAGTCCGACCTGATACTTATATTTACCTAAATGTTGATTAAATGCGTATCTGACACATTGTAATAACAGCTGTAGCTGCTGAATCTGACACACCTCAGTGCTACTTGATCCAAACACTGGTTCAAGGTACAAAGTTCGGCTTTATTGTCACTTATATAATACATGATTTCACAATGAAATTCTTTTAGGCTGCACCCTCAGAACAAGTATTAGCAGATATTCAAATATCTAATTAAAATAGATGTTACCATGATTAGACAATGAAAAACAAAACAAATTATATAAGAATTTCACTAAAGGGAGAAATAAGGAGAAAAAGGAAATTATATTTACAAGGATATACAGACATACACTTACATTATGTGTACACAAAAAACAATTACAATCTGAAGATCCTGGTTCAAAACTATTAGGTTGATAAGCTTCACTTATTGATTTGATATGAATAAAAGTTCAACTTGAAGACTGTGACTCCTGAAATTGACATGATCAGTTAAGGAAAAAAAGGTCTCACTCTTATGGAGTTGTTGGAGCGACAGAAACACTCTGATTGTTCAGTGATGTTACAGAGTGGAGCTTCCTCTCACATAGATGATCTTTAGAAACACAGTAGAGTACAGTAAGTTGTAAGTGTTTGTGAAAAAACTATAGAAATGATTTGAACACAAGTTCATTAAATCAGCCTCAAACATGTAGATGTAGAAACTCTTCACTCTCTCAAATAAACATGTTTCCAGCTGTAGGTAAACTGTTCAGAGATGCAGATGGAGAAGGAATCATCAAATCTTGACCATGTGTCATGTTAATGTTACCTCTGTTCTTTACAAGGTCTAATGATATGTGTAAAACATTTGTTGTTTCCACAGACAGAGAGCAGAGTCTCCAGTGTCCAGCTGCCTGTCTATGAAGAGTGACCGGTCTATGGACAGACCTATAACCTTCAGTAATGAACCTGCACCCTCAGACACAAAGAGTCATTGGAGACAGTTTCAACTGTAAGTTGGCCTGAAGATGTGTTCAGTGTTCAAATTCAATGTATTTTAATATTTTTCAGTTCAGAGACTCAAAATATGTGAAGAGGGAATGGAAATGTGTACAAACAGTCTGCTGATTAAGGTGGTCAAAGGTCACTGTGACCTTGTGTCTGTCTTATTCTCCTCAACGCGATATCGCAAGAACACTTTGAGGGAATTTCATCAGATTTGGCACAAACTTCCACTTGGACTCAAGGATGAACAGATTCAATTTATGGGGTCAAAGGTCAAGGTCACTGTGGCTTAGTCCTTAGCATTCTCATGAATGTCATATCTTGATAACACCCTCAGGAAATTTCTTCAAATTTGGCAAATTCAATAATGAACTGATTAGAATTTGTTTGTCAAAATTCAAGGTCACTGTGGCCGATAAAGACATGTTTTTGGCCATAATTTATTAATTCATACAGTGGTTATGACTAACTTTCCCACAAATGTCCAACAGGATAAAATGGAACAGAGGGGGGGACGTTTGGTCAGATACTAAATTGGTGACACTACTCATGGGTGTTCACCTTGAAACTGTGCTGATTGTATCGATCCTTTGTGCTGCCACATTGAAGATGTATGTAAAGCATCCATGTTTTGGAAGATGTATCTTTTTTGCAGCAACATCCATATTTGAAACATTGCCTACTGTCATGGCTACATATGAAACTCGACTGGTTTACGGAGGCGTACAACTACGAGGCATTCATTTTAGTTTGGCCCTGATCAGAGTATTTTACATTTGGATATCTACTGATCCAGAGTCTGACCTGAACTCCCACTTGGACGCAAGGATGAACAGATTCAGTTTTGGTGGTGCTCAAAAAACATATTTTTGGCCATCACTTCACATGCATATTATGACAACATTTCCCACAAATGTCCAATAGGATAAAATGGAACAGAAGAGGAGACATTTGGTCAGATAATGAATCAATGACACTAATCTTGGGTGTCCATCTTGAAATTGTGCTGATTATATAGATCTTCTGTCCTGCCAGGTTTAAGATGTTTGTAAGGCATCAGTGTTTTAAAACATGAAGCTTTGCAGCAACATCTGTATTCGAAGTATTGTCAGCGAGTGATGCACCGATATGAATTTTTTTAAAACTGACACACTGACCGTTAATTTCACATTTTTTCTACTTTTCATCTGAATATCAGAAGTCTTTCAAGTAACTATGACAAATTCCTTCAATATTTATCTTTACTCAGAGACATGACTTTCCGTAATTGCTTTATCTGAATCATGGCTTACAGAAGACTCTAAAGAAATCTTTAAATTACCTAATTACAACTCAGTTCATCATGTAAGAAAAAATAGATCTGGAGGTGGCGTATCTCTTTTTATTCATGCTGATTATGACTTCAAAATAAGGGATGACCTTTCTTTGAAAACAGATAGGGCTGATGTGGAATCTCTTTCTGTGGAGCTCTCTAGTGTCTCTGGTGGACAGAATGTTATTGTTGGGGTTCTTGATCACCCACCTGATTCTGTCATCAAAGACTTTAATGAAAGTTTGTTCTGTTCACTTGGCCTTATCAACAGAGAGAAAAAGCTTTGTTACATTTTAGAAGATTTTAATTTAAATCTCCTTAAACATAATTCAGATACCCTTATTGGGGACTTTCTAAATGTTCTCTATTCTAGTTATTTCTTCCCTCTTATTCATAAATCAATACGAGTTAATTGAAAAATCTGCAACTTGACCAAAGGAATGAAATCTGGTATTCTATATTCAGACTTGTGAGATCATTTTCCTATATTCCAACTCTCTGTGAACAAGGTTAGTAGAGCTGAAAATTCTAAGCTAATAACACCTAAAGAAATATGAGTAAGAAAAACATTGATGAGTTTAGACATGCTTGGCAGTGTTTCCTGGGATGATGTATATGAAGAGAATAATGCTGATTTAGCATATCAGAAATTTATGAAAGTTATTAGCTCTTGTTTCAGTGAATGTTTTCCCATAGGAAGATCTACCAAGAAATGTCACCAAGGCGTCAATAAGCCATGGTTCACAGCTGATTTGTTGAAGCTGCTGAGGAAAAAGAACAAACTGTATGAAAGATATATCTTAAATCCTACTCCTCTTACTCATGGTGCTTATAAATCCTATAGAAATACTATTAGAAAATTCAAATAATTCTAATGAATTCTATTAGAGCTGCAAAAAAGAAATAGTGATAATGACGTGGCCAGTGATGAATTAAACAGGTGTTCAAACAACATTAAATCCACATGGAAAGTATTAAACCAGCTGCTTCAAAGAGAAAAAAAACTACCTCAGAATTACCTTCTGTCTTTCTGAATGGGGAGGATTGTTAAGTAACCCATTTGATATAGCTGAACAGTTTAATGATTTCTTTGTTAATACTGGTAAGAAATTAGCAAATAAAATTACTACTAGTCATGTAAACCCATTGGATTTTATTCAAGGGACATTTCCTGTTATGTCTTCTTTCAGGATCCCCGATATCCAGGAAATAAGTGACATAATTGATCACTTGAAAACATCTGCAGCTGGCCATGACAATATTCCAGTATCTCTTGTCCAGCAGGTGAAACAATTAATCTTGCAACCACTTTCCTACATCTTTTCCCTGTCTTTAAAAACAGGAGTTGTGCCAGAAGATTTAAAATTTGCCAAAGTAATTCCCTTGTTTAAAGTGGATGATCCATGTTGTTTGAACAATTATAGGCCCATAACTATTTTGCCATGTTTTTCAAAAATACTACAAAAAATGATCTACAACAGGATTCTTCTTCATTTAGATTTCAAAACAATTCTTTACAATCATCAATATGGTTTTTGAAAAAAATATTCCACTTACATAGCTCTGCTTCACCTGATTGACAAGGTTACATCTGCTCTCGAAAACAATGAATTTGTTTGTAGTATATTCTTAGACATTTCTAAAGCATTTGATACTATAAATCACAATATCGTATTGACTATATCTTATTAGTTATATAAATATGGTTTTCAAGATGTAACTCATAAATGGTTGACAAATTATGTTTCTAACAGAGCTCAGTTTGTTTGTGTTAAGGGATGCTATTCTAACAGAGCTAAACTACACTGTGGGATTCTGCAGGGATCCATTCAGACCACTATTATTTCTTATTTACATAAATGATTATGATGATGATGATCCTCGGATTGGGTATCCTGGCGATCCTGTATATTTTAGAAATATATTTTTTTTATAAGACAGTGGTTATTAGCTGATGGCTTGCTCACCTCCAGACACACCCACCGGTGCTATCGGCCACTGGGATGGCTCTATCAGCTGAGCCCAGGTAGACCGGCCCTTACATTATGCTGCTCCTGGCAGTATGGCAAGAGACGCTGGCGAGTGAGAAATGAGCCAGAGGTCCTCTGCGTATTCGGCCTACCACGGTATTTTACACCGCTCAAAGTCTGTGAAATAGGTGCGCTTCCCTGTGGAATATCATCCATCCGGCCACCACGGATATCAAGGGATCCTACGGAGCCTCCACGCCTGAAACAACGCCGGAGTGTTATGGCATTCACCCACGGTCCTGTGAGTTGGCAAAAGCCAGATTTGGATAGTATTTAAATAAAAAACAAACCTTAACTTGGATGCATTCTTTTTTTTTTTTTCTTTCTTAATGCTTTGCAAAGTATCAGATCGGATACAAAAAAAATGTGACCGGGACTTCCCTATAAATGATATAGCAAATGTTTCAAATCTCTCCTATCATGTTTGCAGACGACACAACCCTTGTTCTCTCACACTCAAACTTTAGTTCATTGATTGAAAATGCAAATGTTGGTTTAGGTGCCTACGTTGCGTGGTTTAAAGCCTCAGTGTGTAAAAATGGTGAGTAACAGTGACATCAGTGGTCAAATTCAGATTGCAGGGCTCACTTGCGCTCACTCGCTCACCCCTCCCGTCGGGTAAGTGACGGTGGCCTCGTAGGACAAAAAGCCTTGCGCAGACAGCAGAGATGGCACGAGTTTTTCAGGAGTATCTAGCGACGAGGTGAATATTTATTTAGGAATCTAAACCATGTTACGATATTGTAGCGACCCTGCAGTAAATGTTCTGTCATATTGTCAGTGTGAGTTAATGGCATCTTTGGGATTGAATGAGTATAGGTAGGGGGGCGGGGGGCGAGCGTGACGGGGATGAGGACTGTGTGAGTGCGCGTGCTGGTGTGTGTATGAGCGAGCTGGAGGAGAGAGCAGGAGTGCACAGTTGGAGTTACAGCTAAGTTCTTGTTTGTTGGTTGTTTTGGCGTAGTTACGGCCAACAGTAACCTGTACTGTTCAGTTTTAAACAGTGGTTTGCCGAATAACTGCGTCATCCTTTCCACACGTCCAGGCGGACGCTAAAATATGTTATAGCTTACCAGTGAGATATAGGTTATCTGTGAGTTATATGTTAGGAGTGTTTTATTTCTAATTGTTTTGGTAACACGAGCAAACATTAGCACAGTAATGCTAAAATAACACATTTTATGTGATAGTCACGGCTCAGTGCGGCAAATATAGGTTGATACGATTATAATATATGCGTTTCCAGAGTGTTCTTCCACAGGAGTTTTTTCCACCTGGAATAAGCAACGCCGATATTCACTCGCGTTTTGTCACGTCCTCGCTTATGTGATCTTTTTCTTTTATTTGGTGGCGTGGTTTCCCTCTTATGAGGCAAAACATATGTGAGGTATCAACAACAAGATTCCTGGGAATTATCATTAATTAGTAGAAAAATAAATAAATGTATTGGTATAATAAGGAAGGTTAGCCATCTCATCACCAGAAATTGTCTTTTTACTCTATTACAGTTTGATTTATCCTCATCTTTCATATTGCAATTTAGTTTGGGGGAGTACATATCCCACTACTCTCCAAAAGATTTTGACCCTTCAGAAACGCTTTGTTAGAATTGTATCCCAATCAGAGCCATGTACTCCCTCTGTCCCTTTATTTCAGAATCTTGAGATCCTTAAAATTTATGATATTAATGTTTTTCAAATATGTGTTTTTATTTATAAGATTCTCTACTAAACTGAAGAAAATATCCCAGAACAGTTTAGGACTTACTTTGTAGCAAATTCACTTGTTCATTCCTATACTAATGTAGAAACATAAATTTAAAGGTCTGGAGCTGGGCCAGAAAGCTCGCGACCTCGTTCCCATCTTCTCGAACAGACTTTCTTTGTTTTCTATTAGATATCAAAAAACTCAAATACTCAGAGGTCAAAAAATCACTGGAGACACGTAGAATCAGATGCAACTGAGTTTAATGTGCTCGCAGGCAACAAACACATCACAACTCAATGAGTCAAGCTCCGGAGCAGGACTGGAATTTCTTTGTCTGCACCCGTTTTTATTGTGAAGATTTCCGCTGAGTCGTCTTTTTCTTAATCCTTCCCACTTGGCACTTATCGTAACGGTATCACATTTCTGCTGAGTTTCCACTTTTTCTTTAGTCCTCCCCACCATATCGGTGTCACATTTCTCCATTCTCCCCCTGATGGCTGCCGCTTTACTTGCACTCGTTCATAATAGTATCCCCGCTCTCCTTTTCTCCCTTGGAGAAAATCTAAAAATCCAAAATCTTTGTTTCGGTACCAATACCAATATGAATTTCGATACTTTACGATACTCTTCGGTACTAAGGAAAAGTCCTTTTGGATACAAACCTTTAGAACAATAAATAGTAGGGGTGTAACGGTACCAAAAAATCATGGTTCGGTAAGTACCTCGGTACGGACGTCACGGTTTGGTAACTCAAATGTTCCACCAAGTTTGTGTTGTCTCATGTTGTCTCCCTTTGCGAGGCAGACTTTCTCTTGTCTTTTTTCACATAAGCCAGCTGAGAATGTTGATACAGGTGTTGTCATACACACCACTTGCGCAATATGTGCTCAGTCAGCTCAATCAGATGAACTGCAGCTCATTAACATCTGAAGTTTTAGGGAATATTCTGCTGAACTAATAAAGTGGAGACACAAATTTTGCACCACTGATGGTAATTAGTGACAGTTTTAGTAAATATCTCCTCTGGTGGCTTCAGATGAAGAAACTGAAAGTGATGTTCAGTAGAATCTCCATGTTTCAGTCTGTCAGCCTCAGACAGTTGAATCTACTTTAAGGTGTCCCATCATCTGACGCTCATGTGGATTTCAAAGCAGTTCACCAGCTAAAGAATGAATGATAAGAGGATGAATTACTTGAGACATGTGATTAATCATTGTTCCAAAGTTTGTCTGAATTACACAGCATGTCCACCAAAAACACCAAAACTAAAACCACCTGAGGATCAACTGCCTCTCATCAAGAACAGTTTAACTGTAAGGAAATGTTGAAAGACATGAGGAAAGTTTGAGCCTTTTGAAAGTTGTCTCACAGTGGAGCAGAACATTACTCAGGAGGTTTTCATGAAGCTCCACCATGAGATATTTGAACTGTCAGTGATTAAGTGTGTGAATAAAACAAAGTATTTCCACAAGAGGTGGCAGGACGAGGTCTAAAGAATGTGTTCATCTCCACAGAGAGAAGAAGAAGAGGAGTCGTGTTTCTGGGGAGGAGCAGCCGTCCTGCTGTGCTTTGTGTCAGGACGTCCTGAAGGATCCAGTCTCTACCAACTATGGACACTGGTTTGCCAGACTGTGCATCACCTCACACTGGGACCAGTCTGCTTCATCAGGAGACTCCTCCTGTCCCCAGTGTGGGAAAAGATCCAGAACAAGAGCTGGACTGCCGACAGCCAGTCAGACCATCACTGTACAAAGTAAGACTGTACATCTGTCCTCTGATGTGATCATGTCTAAACACAGGATTCCTCTTGGTTTATTTGTTATGTTGTACAGCATCCACATAAAAGATTGTTATTAAGTCATACAATTTTAAATTCTTTAATTTAATGTTGGTCATGAAAATAATCATCAGCTTCTCTTTTCCTTTAGTCTCACAGTATTCCTTCTCTTTCAGGAGATAGTGGTCTGCAGGAGGTTTTAGATGAACATAAGATCAGTCTGAGGAGGAGATGTGAACATGTGACTGAAGGAAGTGATGAAACAGGAAGTGAAACCCTCCTCAACAGGATCTACACTGAGCTCTACATCACAGAGGGACAGAGTGAAGAGGTTAATACCCAACATGAGGTGACACAGCTTGAGACAGCTTCCAAGAAGAAGATCCTCCATGACACTCCAATCAAGTGTCACGAAATCTTTAAAGCTTTACCTGACCAACAGAAACACATCAGAGTTGTTCTTACGAATGGTGTCGCTGGCATTGGAAAAACCTTCTTGGTGCAGAAGTTCACTCTGGACTGGGCAGAGGGTTTGGAAAACCAAGATATCAGTCTGGTGATTCTGCTTTCGTTCAGGGAGCTGAACTTGATCAAATATGAGCAGTACAGTCTTCTCACTCTGCTCCATGTTTTCCATCCAACATTACAGAAGGTAACAGCAGAGGAGCTCACTGTCTGTAAAGTTCTGTTCATCTTTGACGGCCTGGATGAAAGCAGACTGTCTCTGGATTTCCACAACAATGAGGTTGTGACTGATGTCACACAGAAGTCATCAGTCAATGTGCTGCTGACAAACCTCATCAAGGGGAATCTACTTCCCTTGGCTCTCGTCTGGATAACTTCCCGACCTGCAGCAGCCAATCAGATCCCTCCTGCATGTGTTGACAGGGTAACAGAAGTACGAGGCTTCACTGACGCCCAGAAGGAGGAGTACTTCAGGAGGAGAGTCAGTGATGAAGAGCTGTCCAGCAGAATGATTTCACACATCAAGACATCCAGGAGCCTCCACATCATGTGTCTAATCCCAGTCTTCTGCTGGATCACTGCCACAGTTCTGGATCACATGTTGACTACAGAGCAGAGAGGAGAGCTGCCCAAGACCCTGACTGACCTGTACTCACACTTCCTGCTGGTTCAGACAAAGAGGAAGAAGCAGAAGTATGATGAGGGACATGAGATGAGTCTACAGGAGTTGACGGCGGCTGACAGGAAAGTTCTTCTGAAGCTGGGGAGGCTGGCGTTTGAACATCTGGAGAAAGGAAACATCATGTTCTACCAAGAAGACCTGGAGCGCTGTGGTCTTGATGTCACAGAGGCCTCGGTGTTCTCAGGAGTTTGTACACAAATCTTCAAAAGAGAGAGTGTGATCTTCCAGAAAACAGTCTACTGCTTCGTTCATCTGAGCATTCAGGAGTTCCTGGCTGCTGTCTACATGTTCCACTGTTTCACCAACGGGAAGACAGAGGTACTGGAGAACTTCCTGGGGAAAGACTGGGATAATGACAGATACCTGGAGCATGAACTGGATGAAGCCGAGAATGGTTTCTCTACCCTGAAGGACTTCCTGGGGAAAGACTGGGATAAATACAGATCCCTGGATGTCTTCCTGAAGAAAGCCATGGAGAAATCCCTCCAAAGTGAAAATGGTCACCTAGACCTGTTTGTCCGTTTCCTTCATGGCCTTTCTCTGGAGTCCAACCAGAGACTATTGGGAGGCCTGCTGGGTCGAACAGACAACAGTCCAGAAATCATCCAGAGAGCCATCAAAAACCTGAAGAAGATGAGCAGTGAAAAGATCTCTCCTGACAGAAGCATCAACATCTTCCACTGTCTGCTGGAGATGAACGACCACTCAGTACATCAGGAGATCCAAGAGTTCCTTAAGTCAGAGAACAGGTCAGAGAAGAAACTCTCTGAGATCCACTGCTCAGCTCTGGCCTACATGCTGCAGATGTCAGAGGAGGTTCTGGATGAGTTGGACCTGAAGAAGTACAATACATCGTGGGAGGGACGACAGAGACTGATTCCGGCTGTGAGGAACTGCAGAAAGGCTCTGTGAGTCCAGATGTGATTAACATCATGAATTATTGTAGATTAGTAGTTTAGTTCTTCAAATATACACAGAATAAAATTCTTAATAATAATAATCCAGTGATTTTGGAGCCACGAAGTACAGAGGATGTTAGTGGATGCCACATCCCCTTCTTAAAGCAAATGGACCAAAAGAAAAATAATGCTCAAATTATATTTAAATAACTTTTAATTCTCTATATCCTTTTTTTATACTTAACTACCTTCACTCAAATCAGTCATCAAAACAGGACATGTCAAACTGTTTTATCATCAAATGCATAAAATCAATATAAAGAGTCCTCTTTCATAATAACGTATTTTAATATATGTGTCATAACAGACTTTCTGGCTGTGGACTCAATGAGACTCACTGTGAAATCATGACCTCTACTCTTAAGTCCAACACCTGCCACCTGAGAGAGCTGGACCTGAGTTACAACAACCTGCAGGATTCAGGAGTGAAGCAGCTGTGTGCTGGACTGGAGAGTCCAAACTGTAGACTGGAGACTCTGAGGTCAGTTCACTTGTTTACGTAGTTATTTTTGGTATATATTGAATTCAAATCCTTGACTGAGGTCACAAAGCTTTACAATTTTCTCCAGAAATGTTATGTCTTTCCAAATGGCTGAACCATCAGTAACAAAAGTAGAGAAATGATGATTTAGAATGACATCATCGAGTTTGAGATTCATCAAAACAAATTTAGGATTCCTGAGGTTCTGGGTTATTCTTGTTTTCATGTTAACATTAACTAATTCTTTGAAGCCACAGACCTTTAGATGAAAACAAAAAGCAAATAAATAGTCTGCACTGGAAACATCATTGTCTTAAAGGGCACATTCATATATTTCAATCTATCTCAATAGAATACTCAGGTGTCCATATGTACATTCAAAGAGGTATTATCTCTGTCAGATGTAAGCCTGCAGGGGATCATGCATTTGGTTTTGAGTATTTGTACCTGTCTGTCTGTCTGTCTGTCTGTCTGCAGCTAATCTCACAAACTATTGGACCAATCAGCCTCATGTTTTGTGTAAACATTTATGACTGGATGTTCAATGACTTCTTGTGGTTGCAGTGATTCACAGTTGTTGAAAACCTGTTTTATGGACTATATTATACCGTCATTGACTGCTGACTTATCATTTCTTAAGTGTCTGGTAGGGGCCATAAATTTTCTGGCAGTTGACTCAGCTAAAAACAACAAGCTTTACTGTCTGTTGACTCAATGGGCTCTAGTTTCCCGGTGCAGCGCAGGGTGGCGAACCCCGCGCAGAGCTGGTGTCGAGCAGCGCAACCTGAGGTGCGCTCAGTTTGGTAGTTTAGCAGACCGAGGTGCGCTGAGATGGGTGTGGCGGCGCAGCAGGTGGAGTTGTCGACAGATCCAGCTTGGCGCAGTGACAGTTTCGTGCCAAAAGGCTTCGCCGAAGGTGCGCTAAAAGCTCGCCATCTAAAACCAGGTCTACTGTCAGCGCAGGCGGAGCACAGCCGGTGTAAGCCGAAGTTTGGCTGACCGGTGGACAGTGCGCACACGTCACCAAAACCTCACAGGCAGGTTTCCAGAATATCAGGCACATTAACGATACAATAAATACCCTAAAAAACACTATTCAATGCAACTATCTGCAATCAGCACATAAATGTATCTCTGTATCGACTGTCCCGTCACATCTGATGTCAGATCAAAGGGGATTGGCACCGTTTGGCACGCGTAATGGAAACCCAACCTGATTTGATTAACACAGCTGCAAACTAATGAGTTCACATCCCTCTCAGCCAACTACAAACAGCCACAGCATCAGATAGGGAGTATATATTCAGCAGTGAGACTGCGAGAGAGAAAGAGAGCGCACGCACATGAGAGAAACGCAACTGTGTTGACCTCCTCCCAGGCTACCTTTGCATCATCAGCCCGTGGAGGTCTGCTCACAGTTTCGTATATTCGGACACTGCGAGCTTGGACCTCCATCACATACAAACATCAGTTTCCTCCTGGGAGAAGTCTGGCCATCTGACGCCGCTGCTCTCTTCTGCCATGGGGAATTGAGTAAACTCTCATTACGCCTTCGCATGGCGCATTTAAGGGCGAGGAGAGGGGCTCATTTGATTGGTGCGATGTGTGTAAAACCCACTCCACGCCTTCTCTCCTCCCTCTTTCCGACTTGCGCAGGTAGGAGGGACGGAGGTGGGACAGACGAGTAGTTTCGCCAGGTGTGCCAAACTTGCAAAATCCGCCTGGCCACACCCAGTTGGCGAAGCACAGGTGCGCTGCGCCCCCACCTCGCCCGGTCTGCGAAACTAGAGGCCTTAGACAGATTTGTGAACAATATTTGAGGGAAATGGTCTTTTGTGTGTATAGAAAATGTTTTAGATCTTTGAGTTCAGCTCATGAAAAATGGGAGCAAAAACAAAAGTGTTGCGTTTATATTTTTGTTCAGTGCAAATACAAAAAAATAGTGTGTCAGTCTCAGGTGTGCAGTTAAGTTGGTCATATTCGCTCTTTTTGTTGAGATGGTTTTAGAACAAACCTGGCACACCGGCTCGTCCAAATTACTGGGCTCCCCTCTGACATTTGGTTTAAATTCAAAACACTCCCATACAGGGGCCGTGGCATTTGGTTTAGAAACAAGTTCCCTGTCTTTCTCTTACGCTCAACTGTTTTCTTTTTTCTCCGCCTCATCTCCCCCTCATGAAGATCGCACTACGTCTGTGTGTGTAGCCCATAGCCCCGCCTCCCCCACAGAGACAAAGACACTCGATGAAAAGAGCTTTCCCGCCGTTCATTATGCTAAAGGTATTTTTTCGCTGTCGCTCAGTTCGCCCCTTTGATATCGCTTCATTGCTCAGTTGCAATCGCTCGTCAATGTGGCAGAAATCAACAGACTCGCTTTTTTGCTTTGATAACGTCAATGAAGCGATCAGGGAATTTCAGGGAGGGGAGGGGGGGTTCTTGACTGTCATGACATGTCAGCTTCATTAAAAGTATAGCTGCAAATGAAAAGCAACAATAGATGTAAAAACACACAGAGACAATACATCTGTGATTAGTCCCCTAATTTAATTTTAACAATTTATTCAATCTTCTCCAATTTCTCGTTTTATTTTAGGGATGCACCGAATATTCGGTAACCGAATATATTCGGCTGAATATTGCAAAAAAACCACACATTTGGTATTTGGTGGAATAAGTTAAAAGCAAGGCCGAATAATAGCGACGTGTTTTGATAACACAATCAAACGGCGTGCCGTGACGGGCGGAATAAAATGTCTGCAGTGTGGCGATCCGTCCTTCACCGCATTTGCAACTAAAAATAGTTGTGAGCGAGCAAAATAGGCTTAAATCATTCAGCACGCTGTGCGAGCAGCCTACAGATTTCAACCACCAGCAGAAACAAATGGCGAATGCCACCGGTTGTGGGTTGAACGGGGGTCACAGACACAGACAGGAATGTATTCCTGTCAAATACGGCGGCCATCAGCTTACCGGCGGCGGAGAAGTCAGTTCCAATAAGGTAAAGGTAAAGTTCCACTGATTGTCACACACCTGAATGTGTGAAATTTGTTCTCCGCATTTGACCCATCCCCTGAGGGAGCGGTGAGCAGCAGCGGTGCCGCGCTCGGGAATCATGTGGTGATCTAACCCCCCAGTTCCAACCCCTGATGCTGAGTGCCAAGCAGGGAGGCAATGGGTCCCATTTTTATAGTCTTTGGTATGACCCGGCCGGGGATCGAACCCACGACCTCCCAGTCTCAGGGCGGACACTCTACCACAAGGCCACTGAGCTGGTATAAATATAATATAATATCCTCTTCTTGGCGTCACGACTGCCCAGAAGTACCTGAACGGCCGAGCCAGCTGAACACAGGTATGTGATGTTTCAGAGGAGAAACGAGCTTTTCACGGCCCACAAACCTCACCACACTTTAGGGACTGTTCGTTACTTATGAAGGGACTGTCGGGGGAGGAGGGTGGCTGGTTGATTATTATTTTATTTATTTATTTTATTTTGATCCCCGCTATGTTTATCACTGATCGATGCTGTTTTTGAAGTACGAATAAGTCAATAAGTAAGTTATTCCACTGAAATATCATTGATGTATTATAGAAAAGTGATTTATCTTTTTGCATGGGTCCAGAACTTTTCGCATCTAAAAACTACATACAGTATTGGCTGATATCACTAGTGTTGCAGGGTATACTGATAACGGTAGACGGCGGTACTAAAACTCCACAGTACATATGATAGTTCAAAGTCCAATCACAAGAGGGCCGTCCCGGCGCACACTAGTCAATAACGGCTCGCGCTGGCCACCTGGCACTCAATATGCTGCTGTAGTGGTTTGTTTTCCAGACATGTGAGTGTCTTTGAGCAGTGAAAGTTATTATTTATTTCTTTTTACTTGTTTTACTCGCATTTGCAACTAAAAATAAAATAGATTTGAGCGAGCAAAATAAATCATTCAGCACGCTGTGCGAGTACAGATTTCAACCAGCAGCAGAAACGAAAGACGAATCCTGCCAGTTGTGGGTTGAACGGGGATCACAGACAGGATATGGCTTTCAAATACGGCGGCCATAGTGCTCCGTGCCGCAACATAACGGCGACAGAGAAGTCCGACTCCAGGTCCAGTAATTTCCTCTTTCGTTGGTGTCATGACTGCCCAGCCGCCAGCTGCCACCTGAACAGCCGAGCTGTGGCAGCACAGGTATGTGGCGTGTCAGAGGAGAAACGAGCTGTTCACATTTCTCTCTTTGTGGCAGGTAATGGCCCACAAACCTCACCGCACTTTAGGGACTGTTATGTATTATGTTGTAGTACTGGAGTTACCACTAGGTGGTGCTGTAAGAATACAAGTACTGTGCTGTATATGTTGAAGCTGCACGAGTAAACACTGTTCAGTCTGATTCAAGCCGTCTCCTCCTTGAGTCCTATATATTACATGGTGTCAAAAGAGGGATTAAAAAGATAAAAAAGAACCCAGAAGATGAAAGATGGAGCTGCAAAAACCTCCAGGAACGTTGAGCTTAGAAGGGAATCTAGCTGAAAACTGGAGAGTCTGGATTCAAAAGTTTAACATATATCTCATCGCTAGTGGAATAGCAGAGAAGTCGGAGAAAATAAAATGCGCCACTTTTCTCCATGTTGCCGGGGAAGACGCCATCAAGGTATTCAACACGTTTCAGTTTGACGACAATGTTGATGATCTGGACGTATTGAAAGATCTGTTTAAAAACTACTGTGAACCTCGAAAAAACCTGACGTACCAGAGACATTTGTTTTTCACAAGGGCGCAAGGAAATACAGAGTCTATTGATGCGTACATCACAGACTTAAAAAACAAAGCAAAAGACTGCGAGTTTGGAGACTTAACCGAGTCATTAATAAGAGACAGAGTTGTATGTGGAATCACACATGACCAGATTCGAGGCAGACTGCTGAGAGAGCCGGAATTAACGCTACAGAGAGCAGTGGACATTTGCCGTGCTAGCGAGGTGAGCCAAACTCAGCTGAA